ATCAAAAATGATAATTATAAGATTTAAATATTTTAAATAAATCAATATACTAAAAATATTTATTAAAAATATTTAAATAATTTTATTAATAATGCTGACATTTTATATATAAAAACATTCTAATTTTTACTTTTCCCAAAAAAATTATATGTCCTTCAAATTTTAACTACCAACTGTATTTGGAATGAAATCAACTAATACTAATATAAATTTATAAAACTAGTACACCAATTAACTTTAAGTTGATGATTCATCACATACACTGTCTTTTTAATAAGGCAACTACTATTGGTCTAACATATAAATTAGAAATAGTATTTGATAAACTTTAGATATAACAATTAATTTCTACTTTTACTTTATTTTAAAACATTAATCTAGATTTTTGAACAAATCTTTTTCCCTCATAACCATATCACACATTTTTCCGTCATTGACCAATGCTAGCTGACTTAAGTGCCGGTCTTGCACGGGCGTGAATACGGTGATGGCTCATAATATTGAGGTTATATAGATTTGTTTAATTTAATTAATAATAATAATAATAATAATTAATAATTAATAATTATTATTTAATAAATTAAAATAAATTTATAAATTAATATTTTTAAATAATATCATTAATTATTTTAAAAAATTACAATAAATGAATAAAATGCTAATCAAATTAAATAATACATATATAATTTTATCAAAATAATGTGCAACACTAACTCTCACCGCGTTGCACGGGATATCAAGCAATACAAAGACCAAAATAAAATGACCCAAATACACGGCAACTCCTTGGTCTTGTTGACTCTTGACTTTAAAAAAATGTTCAGCCGGTCTTGCAAGTAAAGAGTGCTTTTCCATCAGTCTCATTTTAACTGTTTTATTGAATTTTTAAATGTAATTTTAAATAAATTTTTTATATGATATATTAACAGTAAATGAAAATTCTGTTATTAAAAAGTTATTAAAAAAATTACATACAAAATAAAACAAAATTTAGTTACAAGTCGAATGTTACTTAATAATATCACTTACATTATCAATGATCTAAATAACTTAATCATAATTTTTTTACAAGAAATTTAAGTGTGGTAGAATAATAAATAAAAAATAATTATCTATTATTATGTAATTAAAATAAAAAAATAATATCACTTACATTCACATATAAAAATTTTGCAAATAATTATAATTTGATGTGGATGTAGCACTAAGGAGAAGGGACCATAAAGACTTCCCAGTCATGGCGTTAAGCACTAGGACTTGAGTGATAAAAAATGAAAGAGAAAAATATACTGCTTTAATTATTGGCCGCATAATTCCCACGCGGAATCTTTGGTGTAACTTCAGCAAAAAGCGTTTGTCCCATTGATGGGGCAACAGACCATATCTTAGTCTTTGCTTGGTAATGTTGATTTGTAGTTGTATTACATTTTTTCTATAATAATAAATATTTTTAAAATTTTATATCTAGATTCAAAATTTAAAAATAGTTTATAGTTTTATTTGTATTATCTTTTTAAAAAATAAATAAAAATAAAGAAATTTTTTATGACTAAATGAATAAATAAAATAAAAAATAATGATAAAAT